GTGCAGTGAATAGTACACAACCCGTCAAACAGGATTCTGGACCCACGCACTGATGTCATAGTTCACAAACTTAAGCCAATAGCAGATGCGTTTACAATGTGCGCAACAATGGAGATCCAACTTTTAACATTTCATTTATGAATACAAAATAAAGTTTGAGTTCCAACTCGTGCTCTAAACCAGTTTTTAAGAGTTCCAACTCAAACTCAAACTCAAATTTGTCTTTGAATACGAGTATATGTCTGGTATACATAATGTTGTTGTTGTCATCAATTGTTCTCATTTATCGCGTCAGACTGTACTGTATTAACAGTGTATGTCTCGCAATGTTTTCAATCAATACAGTCTACTCTCCATAGATAAGTCACTTGTTATTATCAATTGTTTCATGCTATGTTTAGCGATATTCATTGACAATAATTATCTCGATCATTTTATATTAAATAATAAACCAATTAATTTACAGTCTACTTCAGATATAATACCTTTATTTAATTAAGTTTATATAATGAGGTGTGACTGTATTCAAATACAGACGTTATGTTATAAATATCAACAGAGTGTGCTAGATAAGTATCACGATTGTTTTATATTTATTAAATGTACTTAACTAATGAGACACTATATTAAAAATTTAATTATAATTTATTAAATCTGGTTATCATTAAATTTTTTACAACACCAAATATATTTATAAAAATTGTAGCGTTTCTAATATATGGTGTGAACTGTACTCCTATTTAAATTTAAATCCAGACAACACTTCAAAAATTCATTGGCATTTGATATATTGGATTACACATAAATAACGTCCACATTTAATTTGAATTGAGTTGTTGTCTGTTAAGGGAATTAACATGATAAATATACAGAGCACACAATCAAGCGAGGTCAGTTTTAATTGTCAATATTATGGAGGCATGTTTCATGGTGGATTAACTTTTATAGTTTAGCTAATCAGAATCATTTAGTCTAGTAAATGATAATAATGTAAACATCATTTATTACCATTAATGAGTGCGATCGCAGCGCCATATATGACGTGTACAGAAAATGTGTTTTATTTGAAGTGTCGGCTTTAAAAGTACAGTCGAATCGCGATTTCAATTATGATAAAAGTTTTTTTTTCTTAATTTTTTAAATTTCAACTTTTGTTACGAAATTTATACATAAATTCCTATTGAGTTCCAGATTTTATAATAAGTTGTTTTGTCATTTATAAGTCTCTCTCTCTCTCTCTCTCGTTATGAAATGATACGATTTAATGATTTGTCTCTAAATGATAACAGTTTCACACGAATTGCTGTCTGTCTATCGATACTTCACTATTCAGTGGAAGCGTTGTTTCATTTGTCACGACTTTTATACTTTGCCGACAAATTGCAAGTCGTTAGCTATAGGTATGGTATGACACCTGATCTCCTGGCCCTCCTAGTGATGGCCGCGATGTTTTGACCACGCGTTTAGATTTGACCATTAATTACCTGTTTATTTGATTTACAATGTAGTTTTAAACTGTGGAATGTGCTGTTCGTATTGGCGCGCTTGGGCTCCATCACGCTATCGGTGCTAACTTTCTGGTACGGGTTGGCCGCCCACCAGACCGCCCAACTCAATGTGGCCGAAGGCAACTTTAATACACAAATCATTAGGTATTGTATTCTAGTAATAGGTGTCTATTATTATCACACTTTTGGCAAATAATGTTTTCAATTGGTTTTTAAAAAATTATTTATTGAATGAAAAGCTTTTTTGTGTAGAGTAGGCGAAGACGACCTGTTTATCTGTTGTCAATGTATTTTTAAATACAAACTGAATTGAAAACTATTTTTATGCGTTTAATCTCACAATTGAAACATTGTATAACTATTTATCAATATTTGTATATCTATTTATTGAACTGAATTGTGATTGAAGTTAACAAATGGTTTGTGCGCTACTATAGGATCAACTGTTTGGCGGCCATATGTCTGCTGCAGGCGTGGATGATGTGGAACTTCATTAACTTTCATTTGCGACGAATGCGTGAGAAGGCGGCCGAAGCGGCGGCCCTTCGCAAGAAGGGAGGACAGGGAGGCGTTCGCACCAAAAAGCCCAAGAAGGAGGTGAAGGAGAAGGAGGACGTGTCCGAACTGCCCGAAGTGGACCAAAACACTAAGAAAGGGCTCGTCCACCGGCCCACTAAGGCGTCCCCCAAAGTCAAATAGACATAGCTTTACGTCTGGGCTTTAGGGTTAGAGTGAGAGCCAAAGGGAGAGAGAGATAGTGTTGTTTTAAATGATAGTTTTATTTGTTTTTTCTGTTTCCTATTGTGTGTGAAAATTGAATGACTGATTGGTTGGAGAGATTGTATGCATTTTTTAGTGTCATTTATTAAGATTTATTTTGTTTGAATGCAAAATGTTTGAGAATTTTTCGCTTTTTTGTTTAGTTATATTTCTTCCAACATTTTATTGATTTTTTTTTACTGTATATGAATCGCAAAATGATTTTTATTTTGCCCAACGTTTAGTGTTATAATTTAGGCCCGATATCGAGATATACAAGTTAATCATCTTGCTAATACAATATCAATACTTCTCGGTAAACATTATTGTATTTTAAGGTGTGTTTTCAATTGGTTTTTTCAATTATTATTATTAATTCACTGGTGTTTCCCATATTAACCCTCTCTTCCCATACTTTCCAATCATTTTGTTGTTGTGTTTTTTGGTGGGAAAAAATATTACAACAAATTTCTTGAATCAATTGATTGCATATTTTTGATATACAAATGACAAAAAACAAGACTATAAACAAAGTAATTACGGTTTACACAGTAATTATTAGGAAAGCATTTACAGTATATTTACATAGAGTTATGAGTTATTTCAATTCATTTTTCAATACGAAATATATATTTTATTTTCTAATAGCCATTACATTATATGTTTTGCCATTTTATGGGAGTTTTCATTGATTTTTAATTTAATTTAAGAAAAATTTTGGGAAAAATTGTTTTTTGTTTGTTATTTACATATGATTTTCAATTAATTATTTTCTTCTTGTCATATGAAAAGGGGTTTATGTTTTCCAATGAAAGCTATTATTAATAATATATTTATTAATAGTTTGAGTATTTTTTGTTGTTTTTGGATATATTATATAACTTTTCATTTATATTCTAATGGATTGCATATTATTTGTCTTCAAATTTGTTTTTCAAATCAAAGATTTTTCTCTATAAAAGATTTTTATTGTAATTTTAGGTTTGAATTTACATTTAAATTAAATGCTTTATTATATTTTAATCGCATTACTATTCTTCCAGAAAATTGAATTTAATATTAATTTGTATTTTGTTTTTAATAATTATTATTATTAATTATTTATGATAAACTATAAGTATATAATTATTACGATAAGTAATAATACAGTAATTAAATAAATAAATTTTACGATACATTTATTGAGAATTATTATAAATATAATATTATAATTATAATAATAATTTTGATTTTGAATTAAGGACTGATTATAAGAAATAAATATTCATTTTTTGTATTTTAAAACAAAATTTTTAATTAAAATAAAACTGTTTTTAATTAAAATTCAATCGTTTGTCTAAATTATGTGAAAATGAGTCCTAAATACATGTTTGTAAGGAAAATTCAGACCAAATATAATGCTAGAGACAAAACTTACATTACTATTAGATATCAATTTGAATAATTGAAATAGATGACAAAATCGCAAGATTTATGGCAAAAAAAGTTCAAAATTAAAAAAATAAACTGAAATTCATTGCAAATACAAGTACTTAACAGCAAATCCAATAATAATAATCTTTTACAACAAATCTCCGCAAAAAACAATAACAAAATAGCGGACAAACAGAAGAAGACACCGTCGATGGCCAAAGCGGGTAATCAATTGGTGCCGGAGTACGACATCCGTAACCCCGTGGCTGACCTGATGTGGTACGACGCGCGCCAGCGATACACCAAAGCCAGCTATGCGTACGGCTTTCTCCGTGCGATGCGTCTGTTGCGGATCAATTGGGGGGCAATACCCATACCCGTCATGTTACTCATCATAGAGCCCCTAAACATAGGCTTCTTCGCGTATTGGCGCGTCACTCATAATTCGGACGGCATATACCCGGGCGGCGATCCCGAGCCCTGGCATAAGTGGGAACACACTCACGCCACGTTGAAAAAGGTGTCGCCAGAGGTGGTGATGGCCCCACACCCCCGGCCCCGCTTCCCATATGTGGTCGAGCGCCCAAAGTCTGTCAAACGCACCGCTTTTCCCATACTATACGATATGTACAAAACGTCTAAATAGTTGTTGAATTTATATCCGTTTTTATAGTTTAAGATTTTTGATTTAGTTTTAGTTAATTTTTTGTTTGTTTCGCTTACTATTTGTTTAGTTTTATTTTTGAACGCTTTTTTGTATTTATTGTGTTTTATTAATTATTTATATTCATATTTTAATGCCATTGTCTAATAAAAACATGTTATCTAAAATCATAATTACATTGAAAACAATAAATAGATATTTTGATTATTTGCATAATTATATGAAAATAAGACAAATATTTGTTATAAAAATTTAATTGTGATAAAAATTTTAAAAACGATTAAAGTTATGGTCGGTTCCCAAACCCCATATTTAAAGCGAAATAAACTCAAATCCAATGATAATAATGATAGACAAACAAGAGAAGCAATCGATGGCCGGGAAAGCGAGTATTTTTACATTTGTTATTTCACTTACATTTGTATTTTTGTAGTTTTATTATTTGTTTGTAAAGACTTTGATTGTATTTATGCGTTTTGCTTGTTTCATATATTCAGTTTATTTTGTGTTTATTTTACTGCCATTTCATATTTCTAATAAAAATATTTTATAACAAATCATAATTACAATGAATTGAAAATTAATAACTATTTGTATTTTTGATGATTGAAGTTAAAGATAGACAAAAGTTTTATAAGTAAACACTTTGTATTAGAAATAAAACTTCACTTTTTAATTGTGACAAATGAGAGATTTATTTTGGAGATTATTGCCGACTTATTAGTGGCCACACCTACGATAGTAGCCATCATAACGCCACTCATATGAGTATACCTGAGCCGCCGTCGTAATCCCAGTCTTCATCGGTATTGTAAGTGCCAACAAAGCCCTCATCATCTGAGAGGTCCGCCTCATCGGTGATCTCTCCCTCTTCGCGCTCTTCCTCTGGTATG